CAAGCTGGCTGGGGAATTCTGGGAGTTGAAGTCTGCCCATCTTAAAGTTGCAGAGGTCGAGGAACCCTGAACTACAGAGCAGAAAAACAGACACGTCAACCATATAAGCAGTATAGCAGAATCATAAACGCTCCTATGATGGTCATCCACGCTCAAGTAGGGCTGAAACTGCTTGGGAAGAGTCATGTTCTTACCAAATTGCAAAATGCACAGGATGGGGTGAATGGCCTTCTCGGGGAAGCGTGTTCCATGGGGTGGGGGCTACCGTAGAGGAGGCCTTTGGCCGACCCTGTGCGTCTTGAGGAGGGGGATCCTCAACGGGCCCCCTCCAGATGTTCCGTCAGAACGGGCAGCTTCCGTTCCACCGTTTTGAATGTTCAAGTGCCAGAAAGTGTGGCTGGGTCCTTTTGGGAGGAAGAACAGGCCCGTGCGAGATGAGTGACATAAGCTTTTTGGAATGGGAGTCAAACTGAAATCGTTTACATAAAGCGGGGGCCGGAAGCTGGTCCCTCTATGTTCACAAAAGGGCTGTCCTTCCTGATGCTCTCCAGATGTCCTGGACCGACGGCTCCGTCTCGCGGGACCAATTGTCTTGCCCGTCTTGGGAGCTGGGCTGGCACATCTGGGCGGCTCAGGCTGACGTGCAAGAAAACGATGCCCCCCTTTGGCTGGGCTGCTTGCCTGCCGAGCAAGGGAGAGCGACGATCAAGGCGTGGCTGGATTTGGTGGGATGTATTTTGTCCGTGCGATGTAATTTCTCGGTTTCTTCCTACAAGTCAGAGTGAATTCTTATCATCTGAAATGTTGGCGGTGGGGGGGGAGGTTGAGAAGGTCTCAGTTGCACCTGGAAGTCATTGCAACCTACGCTATTAGACAGAGGTCCTTACAGAAAGCAGCAGTGATGGTAGGATCTTTTACGGTGGTGGTGACGACGATGATAGTGGGGTATAGTGGTGAAAGTTTTGGACTGGCACTGGGTTTCCATTTCCAGTGCACCCATTTCCAGTCCAGCCTCAGCTACAGAGACTAAGTTTGCGACTTTGGACCAGTCACTCACTCACCCAGCTACCTCACAGGGTTGTTGTGAGGAAAAGGGGAAGCAGAGAGCTTTATGTATGCTACCACCAAGGGCAGATTAACAAATTTATTTATTTATTTATTT